AGAGAATGAGAGATAGAAAGCACGAGAGGGAAGAGGGTCAGAGGGAGCAGCAGACTCCCTGCTGAGCAGGAAGCCCGATGTGGGACTCGATCCCGGGACTCCAGGATCATGACCTGAGCCGAAGGCAGTTGCTTAACCAACTGAGCCACCCAGGCGCCCAGGTTGGCAGTTTTTAATATTTTCTTTTCAGTTACTTTAATTAGTAGTAGTAGTAGTAGTAGTAGTAGTAGTAGTAGTAGTATTTTGTGAGTGTTATGATTGGGGTTGCAATCAAACGGAGCATAGGCTTCGGAGAAAAAAGTCTGTTGCACTCTCTGTCTACACGATGTGGCGACCCAGTGGATCCCTGGTGATCTACACAGGGAAATGACAACGCCTTGGGCTTAATGTATTATGATATTGCTGAACTGCTCACACATTAGAAGGGTGTTCCCGTGAATCTTTTAACAGGTGCCTTGCATAGAAATCCTGATTTCTTTGTCAACTCTGTTAAACAGTGTCTTGCAGTGAAGACACTTGAATATCTTATGGAGATTTTTGCTACATCTTGGAGTTTGTGACTGACACTCTTCTCTTAACGCCTTGTGAAGTTAGGCAGCCAGAAACCCAGCCCTGCGTGCCCCAAGAATGCGTACTGGTTTTTGCTTTTTTCAGAGTGTGTTCTTTTTTTTTTTTTTTAAAGATTTATTTATTTATTTATTTGAGAGAGAGAATGAGATACAGAGAGAGCACGAGAGGGAAGAGGGTCAGAGGGAGAAGCAGACTCCCTGCTGAGCAGGGAACCCGATGCGGGACTCGATCCCGGGACTCCAGGATCATGACCTGAGCTGAAGGCAGTCGCCCAACCAACGGAGCCACCCAGGCGCCCTTCAGAGTGTGTTCTTTCCTTTTGTTCCTAATTGGTAATTCCAGCCCCCCTCGTGGTACCTGTGGAGCAGACTCTGGAGCAGACGCAGAAGTCCTAGATGAGTAGGGAGGATTGGGGGGTGTGGGGGGGACGACACAGGCTTCGCTGCAGCCGTACCCAGGCTGATGCAGATGCCGCGGAAAGCAGTTCCTTCACATTACCAGCCTCCCGGGTGCTTCCATTAAGTCCTGACAGGGCATGCTGCTCCTCCTTTAACCTTTTTAGGGTAAACAAGCTTCTGGGCCAGTGGAGCTCTCTGGTTCGTAGAATGGGGTAAGTCAAAAAGGCGACAACGGAAGCCAGTCCCGGCCCGTGTGTCTCACTGCCCCGCCCGGGACGGACCTCGGGGCTGTTACATAAAGTGTAACACACTCACACTGTGGTAAGTATCATCTATGTTTCTCTTGTTACCGGTGTTATCTTGGCGTGTTGGTTTCATGATGAAACAAAAAAGTATCTTTGAAAAGATAAGAGGTGCCAAATAGTTTAAATTTACCTCCTTATGAAAAGTTTTTCTCCCAAGAACCGTTTCAGGGTTTGTTAGGAGCTTCTCAGCATAAATGGGGCGGGTTTTTTTTGTTGTTGTTGTTGTTACTGTTACTCTACTTCTGTGTCTGCCCCTTCGTCCCAAGCGGTGATTTCATTAGATGGTGGGAAAGTGTGTTAACCTGCTGACACCATTAAACTTGGCATATTCAATTTCTGGATTTGTGTTCTTTATAAACCAAATGTTAGACTTCCTTTGATTGAACCATTGACTTCCTAATCATTTTTTAAACAAGCATTAAAATCATAAAAATATTAGTGATCTCTTAAATGAACCTAACTGTAAAATTAATTCAATGCACAGAAAAAAATTCAAAGAATTAAAGTAACTTAAATGTTACTGTGTGTGCTAATGCCCCATGGTGTGGTCTAGGGAACCCCGAGGGTTGTACAAGGTCAGAGTTATTGTGAGGGGTAAAAATTCTAAATGCTTGTTTCACATAAAAATGTCTTGTTGCAGTCGAGGCGCCTGGGTGGCTCAGTCCACCATTCAACTCTTCATTTTGGCTCAGGTCATGATCTCAGGGTCGTGAGATCAAGCCTGCTTAAGATTCTCTCTCTCCCTCTACCCCTCCCCTTCCTCTCTCTAAAAAAAAAAAAAAAGTGTAGCAGTAAAAATTATTATATTAAAATTTCAACTCTTGAGGGCATCTCTTTAATATTCACTGATGAAATGTGAAGTATTAAGTACTTTGCATCCCCACGAACAATGATTGTCAGGTTATCTCAGGGCAAAGATCTAGGAAATAGCGGGACTGTATCCCAAGGATAGAAAGAACTACAAAGAAATCTTATACTTGATTGTTGTTGACGGTTATTGTTGGTAGTGGTGTTGGTGGTATAAGTTTGAAACTTTTGTACGTACTGTAGATAAAGCAAATGGGTAAGTGTATGAGAAATACTGAGAGTTGGAGCTTTCATTGTGGGGGAAGGGAAATAATGTGGGATTGAGGGAGGTGAGGAAGAAACCTGCCGTTTTGGATTTGAATTCAAGGTGTCACCGTGAATGTGTGATTTAAGACATTTAAAAGATCCTTACTCTGTCCAAAGAGCCGAGAAGTAATGATACTTAACTAGCAAGGAGCATACCGAGTCCTCACATCTGATTTCGGAATGCCTGTGCACCTTGGGGAAGTGGCTGATCCGAGGGCTGGGGCAGGTCAAGTATAAGGCTAGCTTGGTACCCTTGTGCCGGAAAGCAGAGGTGCTCAAAGACCATTAGGGTTGTGTCAAAAGGACACAGAAACTGGCTTGAAGGAGCTCCCAGTGGCCAAATTTAGGACAATTTGAGCATCAGAAAGAAAGGTGACAATGGATTATAGCACGTGGAATTAAAAAAATTCCGTGAATCTACATGGGAGCGAGAGATGCAGAGAAAGGGAGAGACAGCAAGAGAGAGAGAACATTGTGTTATAGAAGAATGCCAGCAAATATATGTAGAATGGATAGAATTTGAAAATGACCATTTTGCAAGCTCTAACGTGTAATCATTGATTCAGGTAAGAGCTCTCAGTGGATGCCAAAACCAGAGTGAATTGTTACCAGTCAGGGGGGAAGGATAGTCATAGAATATCAAATATCACCGTACATACTTCTTACTAAATACAAAGGGGAAAAGGTATTTTTGCTAAGGAGAAATATGGTACATCCCACCTCAATGTGATCAGAGAGCATTACCACTAAGAACGAGAGACAGCGAGGCATTTGCTTTCTAAGAATGTAGTACTACCTGTGAAGTAGTCATCGTTTTGTCAAAGGAAAAAGAGGACCTGTGAAAAAAGACTTTAGAGACCTGTTGACCAACATATGGACCTTATTCAAATCATGATACGAGTAGACTGTGTATTTGCTGATGATACAGGGTGAAATGATACTGTATCTTCATTTGCTTCAAAATAATGTGGAAGGAGGGCAGTTGGGTCGGGATGCAGACAGAACAAGATTAGCCATGGCACAGAAGTGCTCCGACGTCCGTGTGTGTGTTCATTATACTGTCCTATGTAGGATTGTTTGAAAAATTACATAATTATGTTAAAAAACACTACTAGGGGATAATCTGATATTTTGTGCCTCTTTATGCATTGCATTGAGAAGTGCATGTCATCTGTATAGAATTGTTGCCGAAAATATTTCGCTTAAATGTATCAGGAACCAATCAGGTAAGTTCGGAATGTATGACATTTGATAAGGCTGTTGTCTTGGGCTATTTAAATGATGTCAGTGTTATGAAAAGCAACAACAAATAGTGTCATTAAAAAAATATATATAATGCATGGTCTTTGCTTGAATGGATCCCCTTTGTCCCCCAAAAGTTATTAAAGACATTTTGGGGACAGTTGCAGACATTTAAGTATGAACTTGTAGTAAATGATATTATTGAATTATTTTAGGTATGATTGTAGTTTTATGGCTCTAGGAGAGTGTTTTATTTTCAGGAGGTATGTGCTAAGGTATTTTAGGGTGATGTCTGCCATTTCCTTTAAATATACACAGGTTGGGGCACCTGGGTGTCTCAGTTGGTTAAGTGTCTGCCTTCGGCTTAGGTCATGATCTCAGGGTCCTTGGATCGAGCCCCGGACGGGGCTCCCTGCTCAGGGGGAGTCTGCTTTTCCCTCTCCCCTTTGCCCCTCCCCCTGTTTGCTCGCTCGCTCTCTCTCTCTCTCTCAAATAAATAAAATCTTAAAAAAAAATAAATACACATGGATTAAGTTGACTCATACCAAGTGACTGTCTAGGTCAGAAACTGAAATACTAACAAATGCCTATGGTTCCACTTGATGTTTGTTGAAAGAGACAGAAAGCAAACGTGGTGACACATGGGGGCTCCCCTTGAAGAATATCTAGATGTTTGTACCATTCCTTCACCTTACTCTGGGTTTGAACTTTTTCAAAAGAAAGAGGAACAAATAGTCAACATATGAAAGTGAACTGAACAGATACATACTTGTTAGATGAAGTGTGCTGACAACATTCTTGGAATACCTGCCTATAATGTATGTGTTTAAATTCTCTTGGAATTCTGAAACTACTCGAGAATATAGACAAGGAACAAAAAAGCTACGTATTTCCTTTTATGAATTTCCATGTCTGAATCAGCAGATGACAACAGAAAAATTAAAGAGCTGTAGGTGGAAAGGAAGAAAAGAGGAGCTTAGTAATACTGTATTTTGACATAGATGACAATTTAAAGACAAATCCACTGTAGGAGAAAAATAGATCATTGGTTTCTCAGAAACCGAAGACTGTTTATTTTTTGTGAAGAGATCACACACGGCTTCTGTCTCGGTATGGCCTTGACATTGTTTGTAAGATAGGATGTATCTCTAGAGTTTGGAAACAGTCTTGTCCTTCCCTCCCCCACCTTCACTTGTTGCCATGAAGAATCAGCTGAAGCACATTTTGCTCTGGGGGTTACTGGGCTCTCCGGGTGACCACGGCCGATCGATAGAGCTAGGAGATGCTCATTCCTCCTGCTCTCTAGAAAATATCTCTAAGTGATGATAACAGCCCCTGGTTTGATCCTTCTTCTTTTCTGAATCCAAAACAGATCCCTAAAGAAGTGGCTGACATCTTTAACGCCCCCAGTGATGATGAAGAGTTTGTCGGTTTCCGAGATGATGTTCCCATGGAAACCCTCTCATCAGAGGAGAGCTGTGATAGTTTCGACTCACTGGAGTCAGGGAAACAGGTACGGATGCTTCCTTTCATGGAAGGCACGGTCTTCTGGAAGCCTGGATCTTGGTTCGGATATTCTTTTATTTGAATTTGGTCTGAGATTGGTGATAGTGCTTAACTGTCGAGCATTTATTTTATAAGCGTTTTTCCTTCATGTTTCAAGAACCAGTGAGTGTACCTAGATCACTTTGACTGTTTAAGCCCTTTCTGTGTACGATAATTTTTTTTTTTTAAATGGGGCCTCCCATGGTCAGATCCATTTTCTTTGCAACCTCAGGGCTGCAGACTGTGCCGAGGCTGCATTCAGAGTGTTCCCGCTCAGCTGGCAGGGAAGGGCTGGGCGCACGCAGCAGTGGGCCGCCCACAGTGCTGTGCAGGCCCGTGTGGTTGCCGTGAGCCAGTCGTGGCCTGTGCTCCTGGAGCATGACTCTCTGGGCATCTCACTCTTGGAATTGCCAGGGAGGGCGTTATTCTTTCTTGGATTACTTGGATCTTTGGCAAACACAAGTTATATTTCTCTGAGAGCTGGTTTCCTGGAGGTTTTTGTTGTGCCTTAGCGGGGAGCATGGCCAGTCAAAATTGCTAGCCTTCGGTGGCATTTTCTTCTGCGTTCGTCGTGGCTCTTAAAATTCTTCATTCTCCCTGGACCGTAGCCTCTCTTAAAAGACTGTAAATTAAACCTACCTTGCTTCGACTGGGCAGGTGCAGGAGAGGCAATAAATTCTATAGGGAAGTACCTGCTTGATCGCGTGGCTGCCTGCGCGTGTTCTGGCCTCTGTGCGGGCGGGTCTTGCCCCCGGGTTCAGGGGCCTCCCTGCTCTCTGTGGTCCACACTCTACGTGCTGTCTCACATAGAGCCGCCAGCCACCTGCTTCCACTCCCCCTGGTCTCTTCCTCTCTCTGGAAACAAAGCTGCTTCCATATCTTGGCTGTTGTAAATGTAATGCTGCAGTAAACATATGGGGGTCAAATTACGGGGTTTTTTTTGGGGGGGGGGCGGTAAATACCCAGTAGTGAAATTACTGCATCATAGGGCAGTTCTATTTTTATTTTTTTGAGGAACCTCCCTGCTGTTTTCCACAGTGGCTGTACCAACTGTATTCCCACCAGTAGCGCATGAGCACCTTTTTCTCCCACTTTTTTCTCCACATCTTCACCAACACTTGATTTTAGCCTTTCTGACAGGTGTAAGGTGATACCTCATTGTGGTTTTGATTTGCATTTCCTGATGATTAGAGAGGGGAGCATCCTAAGTGTCCATCAGTAGAAGAATGGATAAGGAGTCGCTGAGGATGTGTACAGTGGAATATTATGCAGCCATAAAAAGGACGAGGTTTTTGCCACTTGCGGCAACGCGGATGGACCTAGAGGAGTGTGTGCTCAGTGAAATAAGTCAGACTGAGAACGACAAATACCATAGGATTTCACTCATGTGGAATCTAAAAAGTAAAATAAACGAGCAAAAAGCAGATTCAGACTTATAAATACAGAGAACAAGCTGGTGGTTGCCAGCAGGGAGAGGGGGAGGGAGATGGGCAAGATGTGGGAGGGGAGTGGGGGGCAGGATTCCAGTGGCTGAGCAAATAAGGCACAGCACAGGGGATATAGGCGACAATCCTGTAGCTGAGCTGGATGGCAGCGGACGGCAGCTACACTAGTGAGCGCAGCATGAGGCCCAGAGAAGGTGAAACGCTGTGTGGCGCCCCTGAAACTAACGTAGCACTGTGTGTTGACTGTACTCAGATACCAAAATCTAAAACAAAAAAGCCAAAGCAGCCGCTTTTGCTGCTCTGAGCACTGCTCGTTCCGCGCAGTCAGGCCTGCCCTGCTCCCCCTGCCGAGCTGGGGACGCCAGTGTGCCCGAGATGGCCCGTGACCGTGTGCTTTTTATACAGCTCCCCCGGAACTCACGCACCTCCCAGGGACAGTTTCACAGGGGATGGAACTGACGCTCAGGGCAGCCGGGCGACCCGTCCAAGCCCCCACGTCTGAGAAGTGTCCAGGCCGGAATGTTTGAAATCTGGGAGCATGACTTGGCAGCCTCGTCCCTCTCACTGCTCCCCTGTGCTGCAGGGGACCAGAAGCCGCACGGACACCCTCCTTGTACAGCGTTCCGCTTGCTGTAGGCACTGGTCCGTGCTGTTCGTTCTGCTTGTGTGTCCTCTCCTCATTTTTCTAGTCTGCCCCGGTTCAGATCCAGTTCAAATGCTGGTGCTGCCTGAATTTTTACCGGATTTCCTCCCTCCCTCCCTCCCTCCCTCCCTCCCTCTGTCTCCCTTATGACACTGATCCTCAGCTCTGTTGCACTGCCCCACTTCAACCCTTACCTCCTCAGTGGGAGGAGGCATCTCGTACGTGAACGATGCTTTCCGGCTTTCCTGGGCTGGACTGCTTACTCGTGTTTCCCATTCATGTTCCATGCGTTCAGCACCCATTAGTGAATGAGTCCCCACAGGGTGGAATTGAGATGGGAATGCTGGTCTAACTGGTTCAGCTCACCATCATTTTCTAGTCGGTTTCTTCATGTCCCATGAGCTTCAAAATAAAAAGTGTAACCACTCTGTTAGCTCCGCTTCTCATCTATTATTTGCTTACGTTCTCGATCATGGGAGGTAGATACAGGGAACCCAGGGCCAGAGCATATTGCCTGCTACTGACTTTAAAGGGTCACAAATTCTGGAGAGCAAACTGCTATGTGAGAGTTGTAACCAAGACTGCAGTGAGACCATGGAGTGGATATTTTGTTTTATACAGACTCACATTAAGAACGATTTTTTGTTTTTGTTTTTTAAGTCGGCTCCATGCCCGGCGTGGAGCCCCAAGTGGGCTTGAACTCACGATCCTGAGATTAAGACCTGAGATCGAGAGTCGGACATTTAACTGACTCTGCCACCCAAGTGCCCCCAAAACAGTTTTTATATCTTGTGGGATGAGGAGAAGAAAAGCAGGGGTTTAGGACTGTGGCTAAGTTGTTTTTGGGTTCAATCTGGTCACCAAAGATCCTGATTTCTCCCAGGCTGACCGCTTCCTTGTGAGGCCAGCTCAACGGGTAAAGCGAGCCAGAGGACTGGAAGGTTGGAACTTGCTGCTTTAAGAGTGACTTGTTCTCTCTGGGCCCTAGGCAGGGACAACAGGTACATGATGAAATGTACACATAGACCCCCATGTGCCCTAGAGCCACCTGCAGGGGCCAGCTCAGGGCTCCATGAGCCAGATGTTTCCTGCCCTTGGAGGTGGCAGGTTTGTGGTGGGTTTTCGTGGCAACCAGCTATGCACCAGTTTTCCTTAAAAATCAGCCCGGGCCTATTGCTTCTCCACCCTGAGCCCACACATTCAGGAGCCGTGTTAACCGGCCAAGAGAAGCTGCATGAACTTGCACATAGTATGCAGCAGTGTTGACTTTGGTCTTCCTTAGATGCCATTTGAATTTCACTTTAAAGAAACTTCCCTTTTGTGGGTTTTTTTTTTTTCCCCCCAAGCAGCTGCACCACAGCTATCAACAAAGGAACAAAGTAATTTAGCTCCAAGCACACTCACTCCAATTACCCATAATAATTCATAGGAGACATTTAAGCTTAAAAAAAAAATGCTGGATATAGACATTTCTTTCTCTATCCCCCTGTAAATTTTCCTACTCATCTATTACATCTATTTTTCTCCAGAAATGATCTGAGCTTGAAGAAGTATATAATTAAAGTCAGGGAGAGGCAGTGGGGGAGATAAAGATTCTCCAACCACATGTGCTGTGATGAGAGGTCATTGCTATATCGGGTGCGGGAGGAAGAGACATCAGAGGCAACTGGGGACACGGACTCCAGCCCTGGCTGCCAGCTTGGAGGAGGCCAGTCTGCGGGTCTCCTTTCTGTACTGCAGGTCTGTCTGTTCCCTCCTTTCTTTCAAGAGAGCCATTTAGAGAGCCCGGTTTCTTGCCTTTTATTGGTTCAAAAGACAGAAAACGTCATTTGAAAATGTCTTTCCTTTTTAGGTGTCCTAGAGCATCTTTCCTTCTGCTCACTTGCCACCTGTCGGTGGTTGCTGGCCTCCCACCTCCTGCAGGAGAGGCTCTCCTGCAGGCTGGGGGAGGAGGGGGTTGGTGCTCCTGTCCACCCCTGCCATGGGTGGCACCCTCCTCAGCAGTGGGCAGGGAGGGGTGGGAAGGACTCTGGCCCTTTCCTGCACAGAAACTTGCTGTGTCTGGGAGGGAGGCTGGGAGGTATGCTCACGGACTTGGAGGAGACGGCTTTGGGTAGCTGCTAGGAAGGAGGGCCAGCCTGTGGCAGGGAGCCAGGGTTTCTCTTCCTGGCTCCTTCCCGTGTGTGTTCGCTTGTGTGTGAGAGCAGACCTTCCTGATGGCCAGCCCTGGCGGGAGGAACTGAATTCCATCGGTGTGCACCAATCACAAAAGCAGCTGAGCCTGTGGCTGTGCTGACTTCTAGAAATGGTGCAGTTGTTTGATGCTTTCAAATCGTTCAGTTCTGTTTCTGTGATATATAGAAAGATGCATCTATGTGTGTGTGTTTGGTTATTGTGGTAAAATATACGTAGCATAAAATTTATCATTTTACTATCTTTTAAGTGTAGAAACTCCCCATTAAACAACTCTTCACTGTCCCCTTAGCCCCCGGTCACCTCTGTTCTTTCTTTATGACATTTTGTGTTTTTAATTTAGCAAGATGTACGTTTCCATTCCAAATACTTCACGGAAGAGCTAAGAAGAATTTTTATAGAGGACACTGACTCAGAGACCGAAGAATTTGAAGGATTTACACAGAATGACCTGAATGGAAATAGTAACTCAGAAGTCATGGTAATAATTATCAAGACGGTAGAGTGTGGGTTGTCATTTTTTCAGTCCTGTTTCTGAATTGTATTTTCTCGTAAGAAGTCACTTCACAAATGAATGACTTTTTCTTACGTGTTTATCTTCTAAGCCAGTTAACACAGTATAGAAATGGCTATTCTAAAGCTGATCGCTCCAGTTGTCTTTCCTTAGTACCTTAGGGGTTTGGGAGGACATGTCTCAGGTGTCCCTTATTGTCCTTCTGAAAGAATTATTTCAGACTTTCTGGAACATCTTTTATCTGGAAAGAGGACCGTCTGCCTAGGAATAGCAAGTTCCTTAAAGTCATTTCTTGTGTGTAAAGTCATGTTCTTAAGTTTGGAGTTAATTTGGCCAAAATTTAGCTGTGGTACAAACCTCAAGAGTTTGCCCTGTGTGTTCTTGATTTGGATGCTGAAATGCTGTTTCAGTGATAAAGATGACCTGGACTTGTCTGACTCCTGAGGGAAGTCTGCTCTTAGCACTTGACCTTTAGGAGACTTGATGATTTCTTCCTTCGCTCCCCTATATTGAGGCCAGTGAACTGCCAATTAGTATTTGAATCTCAGGGTACCTCTAAAGAACAGCCTTCAGGTTTTTTCCAGGCATGAAGGTGTTTTCTGCTAACTGAAAAATAGCATACGTTTATCCCCCCAGATCGGTCCACCGTTTCCTTCTTTGGTATCAAGATAAAGGATAGAGGTTAAACCTTTTCACATTCAGAAGCTCCTAAGGAACCACGGCTGGCGTGGAACTTGTGTAGAAATTTAAATAAGCTATAACTAGTAGGTTTGCTTTGTTCCTCACCTTTTCCTGGGGGCATCTTAAGGCCTGAAAGCCCTAATGGTAGGCTGCCTCATTTGATGTTGACCCCCCCCCCGCCCCTCCCAGCGAGTAGCAACGCGGAGCCCCTGCCAGCCTGCAGTCACCAGCCCTCCTTTGGCTTTCTTTACAGAAGCTGCTTGTGAGGCAGTTGATGTGTTCTGGCCAGCAAGCCTCCAGTTCTCTGCCAGCAAGACACTAAAATTCTTCCCAAACCCTAATGGCTATCATCTACTCTTAGTGACTTCTAATTTTTAACTAAGTGATGTCAGGTTATTCAGAGAATCTGTGTTTCTAGCACTGGGAAGACTACTCCAAAAGTTTGTTGGTTTTTTTTTTCCCCCTGTTCCTAGTCTATACATTTGGGGTATGAATTCTGACATGTTGACTGATGTAACTCATAGCTTAGGGCAGGTCCAGCTGCAAATTTTATTTTACAATTCAGTGAGCCAACAAGCATTCTTGCCTCCCTCCCCAACCTCCTGCCCACCCAGTGGGGACTGGTGAGACCCTGTTTTCCGATAGTAGGATGTTACTGCCCCTTGGTGTCTTGTGCTCTTCTAGCCATACGTGAAGAGGCCTTGTGTGCTTTGCCTCTGGCCTCCACTGGTGGTTACAGTTTGCTCTTGTCTACTTTCGTCCTTCGCAAAGAGATATGGGTTCGAGGATGATGAAGATGAATAAAGCCAATCTGAGAGATAGTTCCTCTGAAGTTCCCCAACACTGTCTTCCTAAAATTGGATCCTCCATTCCCACCATTTTGGGTTCCAGAGCTACTGATGTAGAAAGTTCAGGATACTTAAAAAAAAAAAAAAAATCAGTACACTATAGTCTTATTTCTCTGCTTGGCCTGTTGTGGATTGATACATACACCACGGTTTGGAAGTTATCTGCAGGGTTTTTTTTCCCCCTCCCTTTTCCTTTTTTATTTTATTTTATTTTTAAGTAGGCTGCAGCCCAGTGTGGAGCCCGACACAGGGCTTGAACTTATAACACTGAGATCAAGACCTGAGCTGAGGTCAAGAGTCAGACACTTAACCGACTGAGCCACCCAAGCGCCCCAATACATTTAAAAATTTTTTTAAGTAGGCTCCATGCCCAATGTGGGGCTTGAACTCACCCTAAGAGTCACGTGCTCTACCGACGGAGCCAGCCAGGTGCCGTCCTCTGCCTTATCTTTGAGTCCAGCTAGAATTTGGGGGGGATGGTCACCGAGGAGGAAGCGGAGTCATTTACCTCAGTCCTGGGCCCATTGTGATGCTGGCTCTCCTCACAGCAGCCCCGTTGTCCAGAGTCCCTGACAGAGGGTCTCAGCATGTGGTAAAGGAAAGATGCCCAGGAGGTGGCCTTGATCTCCATAGTCAAGCCTAGTTCTGCCATTGCTAAGAGTCCCCTGGCATCTGAGATGTCACCCACTGCCGCCTGGGTAACGTCACCCTGCCATTGCCTTCTGTTCTGTGTTCTCATGTGTAAGACTGAGTTCCACTTTAATGCCAGAAACCTATATACCAAGCAGAATCAGAAAATTGGGGGCAAGAGTTTCTTGAGCTGACAGAATGGTTGCTTTGCAACAACCCAAGGGCTATCTGCCTTGATTTCACCCTGTGGCTCTACAGGTTGCAGAAAAGGGAGGGGACGTTCCTGGGAGGGAAGACCCATCATGTCCTGGGGATAAGTTTCCCCTGCTGACCCCGCTGGCTGGTCATCTGCTTGCAGCGCTCCTGTCCCTTCTACCCGAGTCCTGTTCCCTCTCTTCAGCACAGAATAGTATTCTTCTTCCCCTTAGCACTCCGTTGTTATCTGAAGATGACCCTTAACGCCATGCACACCCTTTTCTTTGGCCAGTCCTCATAATACTTGGCCCTTCCACAGTGGGGGAGCCCTCCTTTGTCAGCGTCCCGCTTCCAGCCCATGCAGTGAAGGCAGCAGTCCGCCGGGGCCGGGCCAGAGGGCAGCAGTAGAATGCCTGCTCCTCCACCAGATGCCTCAACAGAGCACTTAACTGAAGAGTTCAGCGGGAGCTCACAGTAGGAAGGGGAAGCTTTCTTCTCATTTTTTTCTCTGCAATAATGTCGGAGTGCTTTTAGATAATGTGTTTGAGGAGGTCTGTTGGGAAACGTGGTCTCTTTTCTCTCCTTTTGTTTAGCTTGTGGAGTCAGATTTGAGTGATGCTGGTGAGGCGTCTTCAGTGAGTGAGGAAGAGGAGGCGGATGAAGGAGAAAAGGCCACACCTAGAAGAAGCAGGCCTAGGAGGAGCAGTATTGGTCTTCGAGTAGCCTTTCAGTTCCCCACCAAGAAACTGGCAAAAAAATCAGATGACAGTTCTTCGGAGCCACTGTTTTCTAGCACACGCTTACAGGACAGTAAAAAAGCAATTCTTGGAAGAAAGAGAAGCTGCAGACAGGGGAAGGAAAGGGAAGATTCAGTCTCGGAGTCTGAGGACGACTCCAGGGATGAAGGCCAGGAGGGCTCGGATGCGCTGCTGAAGAGGACCATGAACATCAAGGAGAACAAAGCCATGGTAAGGCCCTGCGGCAGGTGGGCCGGGAGCTGGCACCGGGCGCCGAGGCTCCAGGATCTGCCCTTAGAACTGCTGCTCTGGCTTCTGTCAGGATATGTGATCTGGGTGTTGGGTGTCCTTCCTCTGTTCCCGAACCCCAGCCAGTTATTACCTGATGAGCTCTGGTTTGGGAACAGAAAGCGACTCCCCTGGACCATTTTAGCTCTACTTCCTGGTACGATGACCTCCTGCTGCTTACTGTCTATTACAGAGTTAAGTTTTAAATAGGAAGTGGTATTGGAGAGGGGAGGGCTGAACAGCTAGCTGGTTCCCAGCAGAAAGGAGCGGAGTGTGGAGAGTGTCGAGGAGCCCACTTAAGGTTTGCAGTGTGCAGGATAGGCAGGCGGCTTGCAACGAGAAACCCTGCTTTGATGACCCACTGGGGCTTGAAGACCTCAGGTGAGGGAATGCAGGAGGCCTAGGTATTAAACTGAACAGTTTTGAATCACGTGAACACATCTTCTCTGGAATGAATGATGGCACATGGGGAAGTTTTTATGTGTATTTGGTTTTTCTATATTCGGTCAGTAGCTTGTTTGCTTCATAATTTTGTATATACAGAATTAAGAGAATTCTACCATTCAACCACTTTTAGCATTTTGGTGTATTTTTAATATTTTCTTTTTAAAACATAATATACTGTATATGCAATCTTAGATGTCTAGTAAGAAAATAAAAAGCCTACTTTTGAGTGAAACTTATCCTGACATATTTATGCTTATTAGCTAAGGGAAATTTTTAGCACTGTATCTGCATTTCATTAAAATAACTATGTTCATGATTTTTTAGTGACACCTGCACATTTGTATAAATCTAAAATTAATCCGAATTGACTGGAATATTAATGCCTGTTATTTGGTGTTCTTAGGTGTTTATTTGGGAATATTTTCATAAATTATTAATGAGAAATCAACGTAGAGTTTTTTTGGAGCTCTAAATAACTGTCCGAACAATCTAGTTGAGCCTTTCGTTTTGAACCTGATGAAACTTGACTTAGGTGTGCATGATGATCTGTTCCAGGGTCACACTTCTCATCAGTGGCCCCGTCATTCCAGGGACCCGTTCATCATATATGATATGATGGTCTTTATATATAAAGAATGGGCATAGATTTTATTCCTATGAACGACGATCCCAGCATCTCACCTCTGGAGATAAAAATCTTTACCTTTGAGGCTAAAAATATAGCAGTTCTTGAGAATCGTACCTGAGCTACTTGAGTCAGTTTCTCATGTTGGCAAAACTGAGGACTTGGGGATAAGGTGTTAGATGAACGAGGCGTGGCAGTACTGATGTGAGATCCTTTCTTCTGTTCTGAACCCCAGCTCGCTCAGTTACTGGCGGAACTGAACTCCATGCCCGATTTTTTCCCAGTACGAACCCCGAACTCCGCTTCTGTAAGTAGAACTCCTTTATAATTACTGATTCCAGTACCGATGGATAGAGTCTGTTGCCACAGGGCTTTTGTCCAAGGAAGCACCTGGTTGCATATATCTGTGCTCTTGTTTTCAGAAGAAGAGAACAGCAAGGCGGGCTTTCTCAGAGGGACAGATCACCCGGCGCACGAACCCGACCCGGAGCGCACGGCCTCCCGAGAAGTTTGCCCTGGAGAACTTCACCGTCTCAGCTGCCAAATTTGCCGAAGAGTTTTACGGTTTCAGGAGAAGGAAGACAATTAGTGGGGTATTTTCTGAGCACAATAACCAGATGATTCTTGGTCTGAGCCAGTGCTGAGGCTCTGACCCAGTAGGTGTGCAGCAGTTGAGCATTGGCATTTCTGCCAAGTTCCCGGGACCACACTCAGAGAACCCCCCCCCCCCCCCCCCCCCACCTAAGCTGAAGGCTGGAGTGAGCCCTTTACCTCAGCCGAGCAGAAGAGCTGCTCAGGGTTAGGAGCCTCAGCCTGATCTGCAGGGGAGGTGGTAAAGGCCCGTCAGTGTCGCCAGGCTGCCTTGTGGTTTTGCTTGTGGGAAAGGGCAGTGATTTCTCCATGCCTTTCAGTTTTAGGAATGGGGCCTTTTAAGTGCTTTCCAAGTCTGGAGCGAGAAACTAGGTCCTTTCCATTTGCAGGTGGTGTGGCTGTTCATTGTGGTTCACTTCCCTGTTCTCAGAGTTTACAGCTGCTTACGTACTGGTCGGGGAGAACCTGGGCTGCTCATTTACTGTTGTGTCACCTTGCCACGGAGGCCGCCGACGCCGTGTCTGGCAGGAGCTCCGTAAATGATGGGTTCCAGGGAAGTTGAAGAGAGGGACATAGTTAACGTTAATGGTGTTAGAGCTCTGAGAGAAATGATTTTTTGAGATTTTATTTGAGAGAGCATGAGCAGGGAGGGGGAGAAGCAGACTCCCCATGGCGCAGGGAGCCCGATGCGGGGCTTGATCCCAGGATCATGACCTGAGCCGAAGGCAGACGCTTAACTGCCTGAGCCACCCACGCGTCCCTGAGAGTGTGAAATTTTTTGTGTGTTTTTTAACCATTCAAAACAGCTTATACCAGGTTTTGCTTTGGCTCATTTTGCAGGGGAAATGCCAGGGGTATAGACGGCGTCACCGAATATCTTCTTTTCGGCCAGTGGAGGATATCACTGAAGAGGACTTAGAAAATGTTGCCATAACTGTTCGAGATAAAATCTATGATAAAGTTCTGGTAAATTATGTATAATAATTTGCATGATTGTGATTCTAATGGGGAGCCCAAGGCACGGGTAGTAGAAATCTTATGCTGTTTCTAAACTGTAGCTGGGCTTATCCCCTTAGGTCTTCTCCCCTCTGACAGGGTCACCTGTGACTGGGAAGGGGAAGTCGGCCAGTGCAGGAATTCTCCTCAGGAAAGGTCTTTCCAGGGGATGCATACGCTCTGTGGGAAGGCAGGTGTATAATTGGAAAAGCATATTTATAATAGTCACATTTTAAGTATTTTTTAGGGTGTCTGAAAAAACATACTGTGGGGTTTTTGTGTGTGTGTGTGTTTGCTTTTTGGTGCATATAACCATAGGAACTTAAGTTTGACAATATCTTTGGCCAGTAGGAAATAGTATTTTTTATTAAACAGTGATTTGGAGGGAGGCTTTGTGGTGTTATGCATCATTTTTTAGATGAGGCAATGTCCTATTAAATTTTAACACCAGGAAATTGTATCCTGAAAAGACCCAGATCCCCAGAAGCTAGGCCAGAGCCCAGTGCTGCTGCCTGGGGCTCAGGGCCCGTCACCCTCTGCGGGCTCTTCCTCCCCTGCCTCAAGGCTTTCTGCTGGTCTCTCTGATCATGTCCTCCCTTCCAGACTCCTCGCTTGTCTTACCTGCCCTAATAGGTTTCTCTGGCCCCAGAAGGAAAAGTGCTTACAGGCTTCCCGAGGGTGCTGTGGTTTGTACCAGAGAGGCAGTGCTGCTTCCCTCTGGAAGACAGGCCGTGCTGCTTCGTGCGGGACCAGCGTACACCGCAGCACGTGGCCTTGTGGCTGTCACCCTCTAAATCCCCGCCTTCCTGCCTCAGGGCAACACCTGCCACCAGTGCAGGCAGAAGACCATCGACACCAAGACCGTGTGTCGGAACCAGAGCTGCGGGGGGGTGCGAGGACAGTTTTGTGGGCCATGCCTGCGGAATCGCTACGGGGAGGATGTGAGATCTGCGCTGCTGGACCCGGTAGGAACAGTGTTCGCCTTTGTCATGAATTGTACGGGCAGAGGGAAGGAGGTTGAAGGTGGGGCTCCCTGGGCCCTCTATCGGGGACCTGTAGCTGCAGAGCTCAGTCTACCCCTCTAGCACTCTAGAGGAAATGAAAAATCCGGCTTCCTTCTGGAAAGAGCAAGCTGACCAGTAGGACAGAAGAGATGAGGGCGTTTTCCAGGGTCAAAGCCACGGTGGTTTGTAAGGTGGACCTGTGTGCCTGGCCCTGGTCTAAAGTTTTTTCTCTGTTAATGCAGTTGACTGTTCCAGGTTTTCCTAATTCGTTTAACCTAGTAAAGTAGGTATATACCCTCCCTGTTCCTCGGTTCCCTCTATAAAATGCGGTAATAGTAGGGTTAGTACACATGCTAGGGTTTGAGCCTGTGCCCTTAGTTAGTCCCTGCCCTATGTACGGCCTCTTTCACCGTACGGGGTAAGTACATACTGTCCGCAGTTGGCAGACGAATCTATACTACTACTCAGGTGAAGTGGTTTAGGAAGTAGACGAGCTAGAATTCACACCTAGGTCTCACTGCTCTTTGGTACTCCTAAAATTCACAATTTTTGATTAAGTTTTTGGGTTTCTGCACATGTGGGACGCTGGCGTGGCCAACCTATCTGGGCCTTTGAAACCTGCGAAGGAAGGAGACATGTTGGGCACTCTGTGCCATCTCCTAGGAGGAGCCTGGGCCTCAGGGTGGGAGGGGAGGCCGCGTGAGCCGGGCCAGAGCGTGTGACGGGTGGGGGCCGCTGCTCTTCCAGGATTGGATGTGTCCCCCCTGCCGCGGGATCTGCAACTGCAGTTACTGTCGGAAGCGTGACGGCCGCTGCGCCACGGGAATCCTCATTCACCTGGCCAAGTTCTACGGTTACGATAACGTTAAGGAATACCTGGAGAGGTAGGTCTCCTAAAGCACAAGAGGCTGTGATCCCCAGAAACCCTCATGTGAGGGCCATCCATTCCATGTCTGCTCGCATGGGAGCTCAGGACTCCCAGTCCCCCCTCATTGTGCAGAACAGACGGGAAGCGGCAGAGAGGCGTGGGCAGTGTGCTCTTGGGATGCTGTGATTACCTGTGGGGCCAAGGAAATAGTGTTGACCTCCAGCGCTCAGTTTTGGAGTGAGGCACGGGGGCTCCTGCGCCCTGGTTGCACGGTGTACTCATGGAAGCAGGATGAGGCAGGACCGACCTTGCAGCAGAAGCTCCGGCGCTGGGCTCCGTACTCTCGGTGGGGGGTTGAGCCTAGAACGCAGCTCCCGGTTCGCCTCCGTGCCCCGCGCACTAACGCCTCCGTGCCCTCTTGCTCTCAGCTTACAGAAGCAGCTGGTAGAAGACAACTGAGGAGAACCGGCCGGCACGCCGTGGAGCACGCCAGCCGGACCTGCCCTGCCACTTGTGCCTGAGAGTTCTTACAGTTGTGTGTTTATGCAGAAAGTCTTTGTAGATCTAAATACTATTTTTTTTTTTTAAGATTGTTTATATGCTTAAAAAGATTTCTCAGGAATCCGGCACAGCAGAGGAATCTCTATGCATGTATCCATAGGCCCCTACGTGTATTGAATTGTTTTAAAGCATCTGCATACGATGAAAAAAAGCAGTTTAAACGGGGTGGAGTTAAAAGTCCAGGTAAGTAAGTTCCAGAGAAAACCTAGTATAAGCAGCTCTTGCCTTTGACACTGTTTATTCGGGTGGCCTTGCTCTTTACCTCCGGTCCAGGACCACATAGTTAATCCTTCTCTGGGTCATTGGAATTTGCTAAAATTACAAAGTGCAATTACACGTAGATCTTGAGAGTAGAGTACTAGAGTTTTATTTGTATGAAAACTTGAATGAACAGGAAGTAGACTGGCACGTTACTGCTTGGAGGCCGTGGAGCACTGCTGGCTGCCCGCAGTGTAAGCGCGTCAGGGCTAATTCTTAATTTAAAAAGATTTTGTTTAAAGTCTGCAAGAGCTAAAATCTCCCTTCACGGATGGGGAGACTTTATTAAGGAGGGTGTTTAAACAAAATTAAGGCACCTGTAAGTTACTTGGAAGTGGGAGGAGGGTGTGTAATGACTTAATGCGCACGGACGCCAGTGGACTGACCCCCCACCCCTCACACTTCGAGCAGCAGAGCCACGCCTGCCAGGACCCACTTGGTGGTCTTGTCTGGGCTCTTCAGCCGGAAGGTCCACACATAGTTGGAGCCCCTCATTTTGGTTCTATACACCGGGCATTCATACGTGTGTTTGGTTTCTTGTCTGTCCGTGGGGATGGCTTTGGCGAAGATGACTGGCATCACTGATGTGACCTCCTTGAGGCAGGCTTCTGCAATGGTTCCTGACTGTGTGTCCCATCTGGCACCTACCGCAAAAGCACAAGGGTTGCAATAGTGTGGCATGTTGGTACCGCTCCTCTCCCTGTTGGAGGCAATAAATGTTTGGTTTTTGGCACGTTACTGCTTGTCAGGGGCTTTCTTACCGCGGGGGGGGGGGGGGGGGAAGTAGGCTAGCTGCTCCCCAGCTGCCACGCACACCCTGGAGGCAGAAGGCATGGCTCCACACCTCCGCTTTCCTTTGAAAAATCAACTAGTTTAAATTCAAAAGGTCTAAAACTTGCATAAAAACATTCTATAGGAATCCAGGCCCAATAAAGCCAATGAGTGAGTGAGTGAGTTCGTCCTCCCTTAAAAAAAAAACGGGGAGGCTTTTCAGACAGTAGAAGTCTCTAATTCAGTACATTCCCTTATCACCCACCCACACCCCTTAGAGATTCACAAATGTGCACTGGCATCTTCACGGCTTAAAGTCTTGTAGTAAAGGAGCAATTAAGTTTTTAAATTAAGATTTTGAATTAAATCTGCATCTGTATCTAGTGTTACCACCACAGGGTAATTTCAGGCCTACACTGAATTAAGTGACAGCCATCACCCTAAATGCCTTAAAATTTGGCTCCCTTGAACACAAAACCTGGTATAAAATTTTGTGAAAGTGGGAAACGAGGTAAATCAGCACTAGATACAAGTGACTGCGAGCAGAGAGGTGTGGGCAGTGGGGTAAACGGCAAATACCAATCTGAACTTAGGTCCTTCATGTACTAACCGTACAGGTGCTCCTCACAGTGTAGCTTACCTTCCATGACGAGCCCGTGGAGATAGGCACCTTCCCGTGGAGGATGGCCGTAATCTTCCTTCGTTTTTTTGGTGACATCAACAGTCAAGCACGTTTTATCCAGTGGCCACCCGTTTCTTCGAGCCATGGTCTGCATGATTGCTGTGGGAGGAGGAGGAACAGGCAGGTTCGCAGGAGCCGGCAGCAAGCTGCCCACGGACCCACGGCATGCTTCCGGCCCATGGTGGGGCGGGGGGGCAGGTGGATGCACTAGACCAAGGGCCAGCCAAGGCCTCCAGGACATCCTCCGTGCTCTGGTGGAACAGCCATGCCCAGTGGGTTACGTATCGTCGGGGTTTTGCACTGTCGTGGCAGAGTGGAGCTGTTGGGAAAGGGACCACGTGGCCCTTGACAGAAAATGTTTCCTAGAGTGAACCACATCCCACCTCACATGGCTGTTCCGCGGGGAATTTTCCTTCCTCCCCCTTCTGTACTGGCCCCTGCGTGAGCACTGGGGAGCAGGGCAAGAGGGGCCGGCAGCCCTTACCAGTTAAGAAGGACTGAGGGTTGAAGAAGCCAGAAAGCCACACCACAGCCGGGAGGGCAAGATCGTGGGTCCAGGTTTCGAGTTCCTGGCATCGCAAAAGGAGGTCACTAAACCTGGTAAATACAAGGGAGCAAGAAACAAACTCGCTCTTTAGTAATAGATTTTTCCAGTAAGATGAGGTAGATTTGGGGAAAGATGGGATAGATACACCACTGATACCCAAGAAAATCCTTACCTAATGAATGATTTGCAGAACACCATCCCTTTAAAAAGCTAGTTTTTATTCCTGTTGAAACTTTGTAACTACTACCATTAGGGACAAGAAACATGGGAATGTGGAAAATTCATCTCCACTTAATGATTTTAGGGATGGGTGGTGATCACACAGGTGACAGGCTCCAGTGCAGAGAGTGGACAGGGTGCGCGGGACCGCGGGGGCGCGTGAGGATGGGCGGGGGAAGGGTGCGCGGGACCGCGGGGGCGCGTGAGGATGGGCGGGGGAAGGGTGCGCGGGACCGCGGGGGCGCGTGAGGATGGGCGGGGGTAGGATGGGCGGGGGAAGGGTGCGCGGGACCGCGGGGGCGCGTGAGGATGGGCGGGGGAAGGCTGCCGGGACAGGCGGGGCCGGGGGCAGACAGGCAGGTAACGAAGAGGGACAGCACCTGCCCGCCTCGGCATGCCGGTGGTTTGAGCAAGTGCGGGTTTTACCCAGGTTCTGAACTCGTCAGCGCAATTATGCAATTATGCGGAAGCCGACTCCCAGAGGCTACGGGAAAGTGAACCTCTTTGATAAAATCAGACATGTCAAGCCTTGCAATGTAGAATTGAGGGCTGCCAGAAAGGGTGAGAAGCTAGAGCAGGGGTAGGAGATGGAGGATGGCCCCGAGAGCGAAGCTGGCAGGCAGTTCTCCAGGGGGAGGGCCGCACAGGCTAGCTCTGAGGTTCTCCGGGACCTGGTTTGGTTGAGGATTACAAAAGTAGCAGGGCTAACGTTCACAGAGAAACTTGGGTCACCACCAGGAAAATTCCTGCCATCTCAGAACATGGCCCTTGTCCTGCTCCATTTAAATTCTTTCAAATAGCTGGTTTAGGGAGAACCTACTCGAAGATAGTTAAGGTGAAGAACAGGAGAAGCAAGGATAGGCAAAGATGGGAAAGAAAAGACTTTTATCTAAAAATGTTGCCACAAGAGGACAGGCTTGTAGCCGATTTCCAACAGATTTTTAAATGATTGCCTGTGCAAGTAGGACTAAGGTTTGGAGGTGATGAGGTAAGAAGACATTAAGTAGATCTCAGAGTAAGAAAAAATGAAATGGGATAAAAGAATACAATTCTAGGAAATTTGAGTTTTCCTCAATTACAGATTTGACTCTAAAATCAGGGACATGCCATGTGTCAAGAAGATTTGGCCGCAAATAATCAATACTAAGATAAATCTTAATATACACTGAGGACAGCATCCTAGGAAGAAACACAAAGTCTTTTTTTTCCTTCTTTCTTTCTATAAATTAGCTGCAAACACCACCTCCCCAGTAGCATTTGATCAGAGAATGCCGGACTGCCTACAAAGCCCCCCGACTGAGTTAAATTTATTTTATAACCCACCAGCCTGTCGTTTGAGTATAAAGACAGTTGGTTATATGGCATAAAAAACTGGCACCAAATCCAATGAACAAGAAGGTTGATAACCCAGCAAATAAGAGGAATCTGAAAAAAGGTCTCTTAATATGTTTAAATTCCTAAAAACTAGAGTAATAGTCATAAAAACAGGAATTTATGAAACCAAGTCTGGTACCTCCCCTGCCCCCAATATAAAGAACGTGGAATTGCAAATTGATTTTAGACAAGGAAATTTTAAAAACCAAGGGGAGACACACAGTAAACTGGAAACAAGTTTCCCCCCAGGACCAACGAAATCAACCAAAATACAGCAGAGCAAGACACAGCTTGAAAATACAAGATTTCAGACAGGTAAATAAGATGAAGACAACGGGGAAGGCAGCATTCGGAGAAATAAGGGCTAAGAACTTTTCGGAGTGGAAACAATAGGTAAACTTACACATTTATCACTACACACGGTACCAACGGGGATACATTTTAAAAAGTCCACACCTAAATAAAGTAGTGAAATTGCAAAACATCAGGGGTGAAGAATCTTAAGAATGTCCCAGAGAAAACAAGTACATTTAAGAACAGTCTCATCAGCTATAATAAATGCCAGAAACCAATGGAGGTACCAAACCACAGGGCTGAGAAAATCATCGGATCCTAGAATTGTACATGTAGGTAAACTGTTGAGCGAGAGTGCAGTGAGGGAAACTCAGATACCCAAAGAACCCTATTTACTTCCCACCACATACCCTGAAAGCCCTTTAGCAAAAAGGTAAAGAGGGCCCAGTACAAAGGAGCTCAGAATGAGATATAAAAAGCAACAATGAGCGAAGAAATCAATATGTGTTGTTAAAGCAAAAATAATTGACTATAAAAACAAAAATACTATGGTTTAAAATAAGGTTGAATTACAGTTGCAGACCAGAGGAGGCGGGCGTTCAGAGGGAGGTTGAAAGTGTTGACTTTACATTGTGTTAGAAAAATCAAGTGTGTAGGTTACAGTAAAGTGTCTCCGCTAAAATAACAGGAACTGTACAGGGATAATAAACATGGAATAAAGGAAACTATGAGGGGTGTTGGGGTGACTCGGTT